AAATAATCTGTAGAAATTAAAAATACTCAATAAAAAAATAAGGAATTTATGTTCAGTTCCAAGACAATTTCAAGATGTTGAATTATGTTAAAAGTAAAAGATGACAAAAAATCTCTCTGTGCACAGCTGAAAGCAGTCTTTTTGCATCTTGCTGTTGAGGTGGGATGATACAAAGAGTTAATGGAGGAAAGTTGGTATTTTATTTGTTTTAAGCGTTGAAGATAAATTGCAGGGGCGGACCTTGTTTGGGGGCCAGCCAATTATTAGCCACCCCTACCATTTTTTCCCTCTAATACAGACAGTGGCAGCAGTAATTTTCTGAAGGGGAATGTTCAAACTTATTTAACCTTTAAAATTTTCATATATTTTCATATATTAACAATTACTAGATTTTGTGCTATATGGGGTAAAGAGAAAATTATGTGTCTCTGCAAGTCATCTAGGAGTCTTCAGTGAAATCATAGATAAATACCTACTTTAATAATAACTTAAACATTCATTAAATAGGGATAGTACAATATATATATATATAAATATAATTTTTTTGCAGAATGATTAGTGATAAAAGTAGGTAATGACAATGTAGAATATTTTCTCCCCAAAACTCAAACCTGAAAGAATTTTGTCCACTCTACCTTTTATTTCCACAGCATAGATGTTTAAAAATATGCATCTATTTGTTAGCAAAGGCTATAGGAAAGAATATATTTATTTAGAAAATATGGATGTTGAAAGAGTGAAGATTGACCCTGAGGTTCTGGTGCCTTTCGGCCACCCCTCAATGTACATTGGTTATTGACCGTCCACCCCTATTAGGATTTTCTGGCTACGCCTCTGATAAATTTGATTTCTTTTTTTATTCTCCATCTAAAAAAAATATTTCAGATTTATTATTCAAATTATCAACTGTTACATTTAAGACAGGAATGTATAGAGATAGTTTGGATGGTTAGAAAAACAGCAGGTTAGGCTTAAATATTGTTTTTCTTTATATTTTAAATGTATGGATGCTTTTAAAGTTAATAGTGTCATAAAGTGTTTTCTCTCTACTGTCGCTGCATGCATGCTCGGTCTGATTTTCCTTCTGACCCTTTCTGGTTGAATTTTCTCTCTAATATTCCTTGAGATGACACCGTTGTGAATTGGTGTTAAATAAAATTAATTGAACACAATTCTGTATAGATTAAGTTCCTTGTGTGCATCATTTACACAGTTACAACTGACTTCATTCATTAATTGTAAGGCAAGGTAAGTATATTTATTATGCACATAACATTGCAGTGTGATTCCCTGTAAATTACATGAAAATCTACGATTTGGCAAAGTGGGAGGAGATGTTCTGTTTATTCCATTACTATCATAAAATGTAATATCTGTTTGTCATACAGCTTCATGGAGCGATTAAATGTTAAAATGTTCTGACATAAAGTCTTTAGTTAATCAGATTTACTTGCAGCCAAAAAGAGAACACACAAAATGATTTATATTCAATTTTTATTAAAAAAGAAAAATATTTGTCAAATTAGTATTTAAAAGATAAGATTTGTATTTCCAGTGTTTTTAAACATTTAACATAGACTTCTTTCTCTTAATTCTGTTCATTAACATCCAATCTATTTGGTTAAACGTTAAGCCTCTAGTAAATCGACAGAATGCAATTAAAGTTTACATTGTTTAATCAGCTACATAAGATTAATTGCTTTACAAACCTGATGATTAATTAAGTGGAATATTTCCTGACAGGAAAGCGTGTCCAATATGATTAACTTAGCACTACAACACTCCTTTTTTTTTTTTTTTCTCTCAGCTAAAAGGCAAACACAGCCGGTTCCACCAGAAAATGAGTTTTGCAATAAAATCTAATCAACCTAAACAAGCTAACTCAGACTCGGGGTGTTTTATTGCATATTAATCCTTAGTTCCTCTTTTGTGGGGACATTTCTAGAATACACAGTGACTAAGAGGTGCTTGATTAAAGCCTTTTATATGAAGACAAAATAGCTACAGACAAAAAAAAGGAGCAACTGAAAGTAGTACTGAATATACTGAACTTATATTCAAAGAAAGATAATTTCCTTTTCTGGAATATATCTGTTAATAATTTGCTAGATTATTAAACATTTTCAGTTACTTTAAATGCATGTAGTGATTCAAAAAGTATCAGATTTTCCCATTTTGTCACATTACAGGCACAATTTGAATTAGTTTATTCTGGTTTTATGTGATAGAACAACACTAAAGCATAGCTGTGAAACAGCAGAGAAAGAATAAATGTTTGTTAAAAAATAAACGGATGCAGAAAACGGATACTTCACAAACTATGGCATTTAATTCAAACAGAGGCTTCTGCTTTGCTTACATTTTTACAATAAATTACACAATGACCATCATCGGATGAGCCTAATAAATACCAGGGAGATTTTTTTTATTATAATTTTTTTTTTTTAGTTCTGACAAACTCCTTTACTTTGTCTTAATCTAGGATGCTTCAGGCTGTTTATTTGTTGAAAATCAGTTCAGCTGCATCCGCCGTAATTCTCCTCTAACAAGCATAATCAAACACAAAAACTAAAAGAAAGCACAAAAAAACAGAGACGAAAAAATAAAAAACAAAAAAACAAAAGTGAAAATAGAAATCTATCAGGATTTGGACTGAATGGAACATAAAGGAAGTGAAAACCAGGAAGAAAAAGTAGCATGGAGAATAAACATGCTCTAACTCTCAGTATTTACACTCAGACTACAGTTAAAATCATAAAACTGTCTGTACAGAAAAAGTACATGTTATTAACAGTGCAAGATATTAAATAGCTTGACTCAAAACACTTCTCAATATACAAATGTATAACAAAAGCATACAATTACATACAAGTGCTGGACAAAAAAAATGTAACTTCAGGTTATTATACAACAGGGGGGGTTTATACAAAGGAAAACACCAGAAGGATGTCGTTAGAAATGTTCACATGAACGTCACTTTGTGATATAAATGCACATTTACAACAACTCTACCCTTAATCTGCTCGTAGTACAGGGAACGGTTCTGGTAGGGATGAGAACGAGAACAGGCCTGCAAACCGATGCTGCTCAGGAGTGACGGCAGGAAACCCTCAACATGGCAAAAAAATATAAACAATACATGTAGTAAAACTTCATTTTTCAAATACTGTAAATGTAGGATTCTTGGTTGTGATGTTTTAGGCAGTACTTAGTTGCAGGGTCCATCTAAAAAAATGGGAATATTATTGAAAAGATCTTTTGTTTTTAGCAATTCGGATGAAAGGGCAACAATCGGTATTTTTTAAACATTTATTTTTGCTTAATTTGATTATTATGGCTTTAAAGATGATTAAAAACCAATATACTTTGAGAAAAATTGAAAAATTTTCATCAAACTAACAAAAAGTAGATTAAAATGTCTTTTTATTTTAGTCTTTGAAAAGGTTACGGCTGAAGGGCTGCTTCCAAACATATTAGTGGAAAGTTGAGTGGAAGGAAAAACGGTGAGAAAGAAACAAGTGAAATGATTATTAAGAAAAATCCAATCAATTTTTTTTAACCAACAGTTAAACGGGAGGAAAAGGGTAAAATTTAGAAAAGTTGCTGGAAGTGCAGCATAATAAGATTAGCCTGATCATGCCTCCCAAATGTACAAATACTTGGTTTTATGATTAAAAACAGCTCAGCAGTGGCAGGTTAGTGACCTCCATCACCACTGCATTGATGCAGTGACTCTATGAAAAGAAGGCCAGCTAATCATAAGGTGCAGTGAATGGACATTCATTTAGATCAGCTGATGATCTGAGCAATAATAAAATCTAAACCATTTTGAAAGGCTACAGCTACCCCTGTTGTTTGCAGAGCCTTTTGAACACACATTTTCCTTTCACTAAACTTTCCATTTAAATGTTTGGAAACAACCCTGAACAGAGAGCGTTTAACATTTCATTGGTGACCTTCTACCCCCCACTGTGTGCGTCACACCATAACACTTCTGTACCAAAAATCCCCCTTTATTTGGTGAATGTAATATTAAAAATTCTTAGATAATTTTAAAGCCAGAATTATCCAAGTTAATATCAATGAATGAAGGTCATTACTCTGAGTGTAATGATTGGTTTTACCTTTAACAAATTGCTGAAATAAATGCATTACATTTTGATATAATCTAATGTTTTGGGATGTAAGTTCGATCCAATTAGTACGGAAGAAGATTAGGGCCACTGAAAAAAAAAAAGTAAAAAATTTTTTTTTATTATTTCAGTTTAACATGGGAAAAAAAGTCAGAATTCTGACTTTTTTTCTCAGAATTCTGACTTAAATCTTAGAATTTTGGATCTTAATGTAGATGGGCACCATGAAGGAAGAGATGTGGGAGCACTCAGCTTCACTGACAAAGATGTGAGTTGTTTGAGGTGGCCAGTGACACATTGGTGGAAAATGACGGAATTAGGCAACTTTTTACATGCCAGAGGGGTCCCCTCATTAATGGAGGAGCAGAAGGTCATTAAAACAAGAGAGCTAGTCTCTAAAACAGACATTAAAGTCAGAATTCTGAGAAAAAAGTCAGAATTCTGAGAAAAAAAATCAGAATTCAGAGATTAAAGTCAGAATTCTGAAAAAAAAAAATCAGAATTCAGAGATTAAAGTCAGAATTCAGAGATAAAGTCAGAATTCTGAAAAAAAAAAATCAGAATTCAGAGATTAAAGTCAGAATTCAGAGATAAAGTCAGAATTCTGAAAAAAAAAATCAGAATTCTGAGATTAAAGTCAGAATTCAGACTTATTTTCCCATATTAAACTGAAATAAAATTTAAAAATCAGTTAACTTTTTTTTTTTTTTTTAGCGGCCTTAATCTTCTACCGTACATTAGACATCACATCTTCAGCGAAAAAGGCTGGGCAGGACTCAGGACGTCCTGAGCTACAGCAGAGAGGCATTAAAAATAATTAAAAAAGGTAGATGATGTGAATATTTTCTATTTCATCACTGCACTGTTTATAATGCCACATCCAACAGTAATACCCAGGATGGCTGAGCATTCAGTAGTAGGTTGTTAAATACATGGAAAGCATCCATTACCATCGGTCAGACGTAGCCCTTCGCTGGCTGCTCACTCACAAACCAAACTTCAGTTTTTCTTTTTTGTTTTTTCTTAGAAAGCAAATTTAATTTCTCCAGAGGAACAAAAGGCACTACAGCGTTACTCCATCTTCATCCACTGGAGCTTTCAGAGATGAGCTGAAACCAAATCCACGGCCTTCTGTGGGACTGCAAAGCCAGAAAATGGACAGAGAAATGTGGCAGCGGGACTCTGTTGGTTGGTTGAAGTGATCCAATTCTAACTCCATCAAACGGAAACCGTTATTGCTTGTAAAAAAAAAAAACTCCAAATGAAATAAAAGCACAAAAGTGAGATGTGGCTAAAGTTTAAAAAAAAAAAATGTCATCCCCCCCAAACACAATCTTCATAAAAGTGCACTTAAGTGCGGATAGCTTGCCGAGGAAACAGTTGTCAGTAGAAAATAGTGCTTGTTTTTCTGGTTTTTGTGCCCCAGCTGTGGCAGGAGAACCAGTCAGGTTGGTTTCTCCGCCCTGCTGAAAAGGAAAGGGGGCGGCGACCTCGGGGTGCTGGTTAAGTGCTTCGTGCGGTGGGTCCTTACTGCTGCCGCTTCTTCCTGTCACCTGCACTCCACTGATACCCCAGAGTTCTGAGATGAGGAGGATGAAGACGGTACAGGAGGGTCGGCGAGCGTCAGCATCACTGCTGCTGTTAGCGAACTCGATGACGGCGAAGAAGAGGAGGAAGAAGAAGCAGCTACTGCGCCTTAAGGTAAAAAAAAACCCCAAACAGTTAATTTTAAATATGTTTAGTTTTTTTGCCATTTAGATCCAGGAAAGACTTTGCCTTACTTTCTCTTTCCTTCTTCTTCATGCGTTTCCGCCTCCTGTCGATAGAGGCCACCTCCGACTTCAGGGAGAGGTAGTGGTTCCGGATGTCTTGAAGTTTCTCCTGAAGAAATGAAATCCTCTCCAGGCTGCTCATCTTTTCCAGATCAGCTAAGCGGGAAGAAAAGGATCAGTTTGGAGGTTAATGATGAAAAGCACAACATCGTGGAAACATTAGCCCCCGCTTAAAAGCTCTATCATGGGGCTTTGGTCCCTCAAACCCAGTACTTTGTTCTGCTTAGTCAGGCTTTTGGAGGGGGCGGGTTTAAGTCCCCTCATCCGGCTATGTTTAAACAGGGGTCCAGTTTACTGTTGTCTAATTTCTTAAATGCATGATGGAGCAGAAGAGAAGCTACGACCATGACACAGATGATGAGGTTGTCCGGGATCTTTTGAGCCGTAATGCTCAGGAGGAGATATAGCAGGAGTTTGAGTCGGTGACGAACAATGATCACTTCTACGCCTCGACTGCAGCCGGACTGACTGAAATAAACGTTCTGCACAACATATAGCAGGTGGGGGTCAAGTTCAAGAAAATGGTCAGAGGTAATGTAAAGGACTTAAAACAGGGAAGAAAGCTCTCCTTTCAGCAAGACACTGACCCCCATCGCACAGCCAGACCTGCAGGGAATGGCCTAGCCAAAGTTCAGTTCAAAATAAGATAGGAATTTGAGGTATAATTTAAAAGTAGACGGCTACTGATGTTCTCCATCAAATCTGAAAGGAGTTTAAGCTAGTTTCCAAAAGAGAATCAGTTTATTTCTTCACACTTCACATCCATTTTTTGGTTTATTGCATAAAAAGGCTCTTAAGCACATGTGGGGTTCCCCGAGGCCCCATTCTGGGGCCCCTCCTATTCAACATCTACATGCTCCCCTTAGCTCAGATTATAGCAGACAACATACAGCTTTACATCACGATGTCACCAGGTGACTATGGAGCCATAAGATCGTTGGCTAGATGCTAGATCAGTATATGGGTGTGCCATGGTTTTCTCCAGCTGAATAAAATTAAAACTTAGGTAATAATCGTCGGACCAAAGGCGGAGAGATCCAGAGTTAGCTCATAGCTTCAGCTACAAACAACCGATTGTAGCCGAAATCTTGATGCCATGATGGACCCAGACCAGAACCTTCAGAGGCACATGCAGGCAGTAACTAAGGCCGCCTTTTATCACCTGAAAAACATCTCCAGAATTAAAGGACTAATGTCCAACCAGTATCCAGAGAAACTCATTCATGCATTCATCTTTAGTAGAATTGATTACTGCAATGGTGTCCATACAGGTTTGCCAAAAAAGTCCATCAGACAGCTGCAGCTGATCCAAAATGCTGCTGCCCGTGTTCTCACTAGCACTAAGCAAGTAGAGCACATCAGCCCGGTTCTGCAGTACTTACACTGGCTCCCTGTAGCTCAGAGAATATACTTTTAATCCTTCTGTTAGTCTATAAATCAATGCATAGATCAGCACCTCCATACATTTTATACCTTGATTTGTTGTTGGTATATCAACCTCCCACTCAGACATTTTAGTTTCAGCCTAAACTGGACACTAGAACTAGAACCAAACATGGAGAAGCAGCATTTAGTTTCTATGCTCCACTTATCTGGATCAAACTCCCAGAAGACTGTAAAAGTGCCGGAAGCCTGAGTTCTTTTGAATCAAAGTTAAAAACCCATTTGTTTAGAGCTGCCTTTGACTGTTGAAGTTAAATTACTAACTGGGATATTAGTTTAAGGTTGTGATCCAACTGTTTTTTTTTTTATTGCTTTTTTCTGCTTTTTTGTGGTGCAATTAATTCATCTGTTTTAAAAATGTTTTTGCTTTTATTTTCCTTCTATTTTATTGTTTATTTCATGTAAAACACTTTGAATTGTCCATGTATTGAATTGCGCAATAGAAATAAAATTGCCTTGCCTTAAGCATGTTTAAATTTGCTGTTGTATCGAGACGGAAGGATGAACACTTTAAAGGCTTTAATTAAATTGGAATCCGATTCGTTTCGGTACTTACACATCTGGAAACTCCATTTGTACACCCGTGGTGATCTACCGTGGCCGTCTCTGTGGTGAGAGTGATCGGTGTCGCCCTGCTTGTGGTACTTATGGCTGGAGGGGGGAGAGCGGCCGTGATACTTGGGCGAAGCGGCGGCCTTCAGGTCCGAAGCACTGTTCTTACAGGCGGCTGGTTTGGCCGTACCTTCAACAACAGACTGGTCCTCGCTGTCGCTGCTGTTAGCTGATGGGTGAGGAGAAAAGAACAAACTTTAGCTGATAAAATATTAACATAATACCTGTATATATTAAACCTGGGGAAAAAAAGCATGAAGGAAGTGGACGGGTAGATAAACAGATGGGGAAAATAGAATTGGTTGGTTTGATGTATGAAGAGAAGAAGAGCTGTATAGAAAGATGGAAGCAGAGGGACGACCGTATGGAAAGCTAAATGTTTGGATACAGGGAGGGAAAAAAGACGTATGAACAAAGGGATAAATTAGCAAAAGGATGCACAGATGGATGGAATAAACGTACGAATGAAAGAGAAAGAGCCTGATAAACATGTTTATTAATGATACAAAAACTTTTCCTTAAAATGATCATCCCTGATGGGATGATGAGGAACAGATGATGGCATTTTGTGTTAAAATGTATTCGCATGCACATACCGTAAATTCCAGATTATACAGCGCACCTGATTACAAGCCGCACGCTTTAATTCTAGAAAGAAAATTAATTTTGTACTTTTATAAGCCGCACCGGATTTTAAGCCGCAGGTTTCCCACATTGTATGAGAAATCTACAATTAAAGATATTACACGTGAGCACTTTTTAACGTTTGATTTAATCCGTATGATAAAACAAATACGTTACATATTATAAATGCTACCTATAACACATTTAAATATACGTATGTGTTGGTAACACGTAAATAACGCTGCATATACCGGTACTTTTAATTGAACAAAGCACAGAACATTGCAGCCGTCCAGGAAAAGTCATTAATCACTTTCTTCTTCCTCCTGTGCACTAAAACCCTCAAAGTCCTCTTCCTCTGTGTCTCATGGCGTTTTTCGCGCCATGAAAAAAACTATGTATTAGCCGCACTGTATTATAGGCCGCAGTGTTCAAACAGCGGGAAAAAAGTAGCGGCTTATAGTCCGGAATTTACGGTAATTTTATTTTCCCACACCTCTTCAGACCTTGAAGTAGTGGGATCTAGATGGGACTGATCTCCTACCTGTTTTCCGGTTCTTTTTGGGAGGCACACCGAGGCTTTTGCGGGAAGGCTTGTGTTTCTTTGAGGCTCCGCCTGCCTGCGATTCCTTCGGCCTCTTCTGACCCACAGACACTGCAAACAGGATTGTGAAATAAGACTTGAGCTTGTGTCTCACCAACGGTTTAGTTCAAACTTTTCTCTAAGGGTAATATAAGGAAGATTTGGGAGTATTTGTACCTTTGGACTTCTGCTCACCGTCCTGCTGGCTGCTGCTGCTCAACTCCAAGCTGCTGCTGCTGTTACAGGACAGACTGACGTCAAAAACCTTGGAGGGGGACCCCGCCCCGTCGTCCTGCTGCAGCTCCTGCAGCTCTCCGCCGAGGCTCTCCACCTCCACGGTGCTGCTGTCTGTCTCGCTGCGACCACCGGCTGCTTCCTCCTGTACTGGATCTGGGGGCAGAGCGTCAGAAGCCGGCTCTGGAGGTATGACGGGTGGAGGAGTCTGTGGTGGAGAAGGGGGCGGGGCTTGGCTGGGTTCCTCCACCATGCTTCCTCCACCCGAGGGAGACTCGGGCGTCGTGGGAGGGGTGTTGAGCACAGAGTTGCTTCCGCTGCTGGGAAACTCCTGAAGCTTGTCGTTCTCCATCTGCTCCTCGGAGCCTTCGTCCTCCGGCCCTTCCTCCTGGTCATCTCTGGATTCGTCCAGAGATGAGGGTACGGGAGGAGGAGGAGAGTTGGCCGCCTCTGTGTCTGAGTCAGAGAACAGCTCTTTGAGTGTCTTCTTTGGCCACTGGGCTTGGATGCTGGACCACACGTCCTTCTGTCCTTTGGGTCGAATGCCCCCTTTTTCCTCGGCGCTCCCCAACCCTTTAGCCCTCTTCTCAGGAATCTCCCAGAAGCCAGCCTGTCTTCCAGCTTTGCTCTTCTCCTTTAGCCCGTTGTACTTCTTTGCTTTGGTTTTTGTGCGGCTTCGCTCGTTCTCCTCAGCAGGGATCTCTGCTGGCGCTGTGCTCTCATCCTCTGAGCTGCTGCTGGACAGAGTCCCTCTCTCCACTCCAGGACCAGCTCCTCTGTCCTCCAGCTTCCGAGGGGAGCCACTCGGTAACCAGTCCGCACTCCTGGTGTTCCTGGTCTTGACTTTTGACGGGCCCTTCGTGCTCCTTTCAGCTGCGCTGTCAGATTTTCTCTTCCTGGTGTTCACCTCTCTCTCCGGCTCTGGCTGGCCTCTGCGCTTCCCAACTTCTGGGCTTTCTGCCCCCACAGCATCCAGGCTTCTTCCAGAGACAGCGGACACTTTGGACCCGTCAGAGGGGACTCCACTCTCCCAGCGCTCAGGAGTTTTCGGTGGCTCTGCCGGACCTCGTCTGATGCTGCCGCTGGGTTGTTCCTCTTCTTTGTGCTCCTGCTCCTCATCCTCATGCTCGCTCTCATCTGTGGACATCTCAGCTGCAAGGTGCAAAGTTCTGTTATCCTCAGCAACAAATCAGGACACATAAGACCTTCACAGTTCTGCTCAGACAATTACACACAGTCATCATCATCATAACAGCAATATAAACTTTAATATTTGAACTGGGTTGAATATACAATGGACTAAATCAGAAAACACAACTGGAAAGAACAATTCTACCCTGGTGTTTGGCCACTCTTTTTGGCATTGATGGCCATTCTGCATAGAACCCATTTTTAAGCACAGTCTATGAATTTTAAATAGGGTTGAGATTGGGGCCCTGTTAAATTTTTCATGTTGGCCGACTTTAACCATCTCAGCCAAAACGCCCCTTCAAAAGTTTGGATAATCAGGAAGAACCCAGAGACCATCTTGTATCTTCTTTATTAAAGGGGAACGCCATTTTTTTTTTTTACATTGGGCCCTTGATTTTATGTTATTACATCATATGAGTTTTATGTCATTTGGAGCTGTTCTGAAGATATTCCGATAGGTTATATCCAAGTAACGTCTTCCTATGGGCAACGAGTTGAAGACACAAACTAAACTGTTCATAATTTATTCTTTATGGTACGCCAGCATTCATAACATGTAGGCGAATCACTGTCCCCCAGACATCCGCGGAATATCTTCAGAACGGCTCCAAATGACACAAAACTCATATGGGTGAGTAGAACATGATGTTATAACATAAAACCAAGGGCCTAATGTAAAAAAAAAAAAAAAATGGTGATTGGTGCTCTGCTGCTTTAAAGCTGCTATGTATGCAGCAGAAGGAAGCCTTTTTTTTCTCTCCCTCATCAGAACCCCCATTTGGTTTGATTTGTATCTTATGGTTTGGGTTTTGTTGGGTTTGTTTTTCTTAATTCTGGTTAGTTATGGTTTTGCATTAATCTATTTTGGTTTCTTATTTAAGGTTGTCTCTTTTCAGGTTTTATTTCTTTAATATTTTCATTTAATCAGAAAATCCTTGCATGTTCTCCTTTAATGTTAACCCACCAAACAAGCCTGGTGGACGTAACATAACTGACTGAGTAGGTTGCAGCTGCTCACAAGGATAAGACATGAGCCTTCTGCAGGAGGGTTTATTTTAGCTGTTTCGCTACAATGACGAGGAAAATGCTCTGAGGGGTCAAAGTAAGGCTTTGAACCCTAAGCTTCGCTATAAAAGAGCTCAACAGGCTGCTATAGAAGCTCCTCTAGAGAAGATTGTTAAAACAAGGATGCTCCATAAAATGAAGAACATCATCAGTCTAACTATTTTAAATTATTTTTGGCCCGATTATTGGAGCCAATGTTGATTTTTCTTCCCCCATATAAATGATAAAAAATTTTTACACAAGCCTAATTTCAAACAAAAAATAACATTTATGAAGAAATCAAACAAAACAATGGATAGCTAACAGAGGGGGCAGCAATGCACTAATGAATCAGTGAATGAATTTCATTTGAAGCACGGTGGTGGTAGAATCATGGTGTGGGGCTGTTTCACCAGCAGCAGTTGTGATGCATTGCAGAAAATGGATGAAATATTGAAATAGGAGAAATACTAACAAACTCAGCTTTACTTCAAGATAACTGAAGATAAGATAACTGAAATGTTGACACAGGTTGGATAATGAACCAGAACTGGTTCCCCAAAACCCATCCTATTAATAATAAACAGGGTTCAGCCCATTTCATTTCACTTCCTACAAATTTTAATTTTTGTTTAATTTCAATTAATTTTTCTCTAGAAAAATGTTTCTTTGTTTTTGTTTTTTTATTCAGATGGACGATATTACGTAGCTAGTATTATTTTCATTTTTTTTTCTTCACTCATAATTTCTCCTATTTGGCCAAATGATAACTCTCAGGTTTATTGGCATCTGGAAAAAAACTTAGATCTATTTAAATCTAAAACATTTAGATAAATCTGAAATAAATGTTCTTATATCAAATGCCTATTTCCTAAAGTAGTTTTTAATCTCAACTCAGGGTGAAGATCGCCGGGTTGAATTAAAGCTCAGAATCAAAAGCATCTAGAGGCTACAGATATCTGGGATATCTTTTATAATATAAAGCTTTGGTATGGACATATTAAAAACCATCATTTAGAAATAAATATCTATAAAATGACCTTTATTTAGTCATATATTCAGATCTTCGAGTCAGATCACTAAAGGTTATTCCCCCATACTCCTCCAAAATAATACTATTTGATTGGTAAAATGCGTAGAAACAACTTTACCGTTTGGGATGAGAAAAAATAAGTTTTTAAAATAATACAGTTTTCAAGGAGAACTGCATCAGTACCTGGTTGATAGCTACAAAAACAATTTGTTTTTACTATAACTTGCTAAAAAACTTCCGCCCATTCATGGTCAAATACCCACCAAGCCCTGCAGAGTTGTTTTAGTGCATGCATGTGTTCTGGCCACTTGTTGTAATTCTGATTGTGCATATTTGGGTGAAGCAGAGATAACTGCACAGAACACATGCATGACAGGCCTGAAGCCTGGCTTCGAACCCAGGACCTTCTTGCTGCAAGTCAGCATAGCAGGAATGAATTAAATTGTCAGGACATTACTGCTGCTGCTGATGATGATGAGCGTATGTAAACTTCTGAGCAGAGCAGAGTTTGAAGTGTCTCTACCTTGCAAACCATTGAGGATGGACGTAATTTCTATGGACTTGACCGGAGACTGCCGCGTCCCTTTGTCCTCACCCTCGTTCATTTTGGAGAAGACGTCCTGAGTCAGGCCACATTTGGAGCGCGGGACCCGGTTTGGGCCGAGGACCTCTCTGTCGCCGAGCCTCTCCAGCCTGTCTTGCTCCCTCTCGGCTTTGTTCTATCAGGATTCAAACACAGTCAGCGTTTTATTTTGGTACCCGATTCGCTCCAAAGCTGTGACTAATCTCCACAAGCCGTACCTTTATTTTCTTACGGTGCTTTATTTTGGGGACGTTCTTATTTGCTGGCCGCACAATCTTGTCTGCCTTGATCCACTCATCATATCTAAAAGAATTTAGTCAGGAGACAAGAGAGTTATAACACTGAGGTCACCGATAGAGAACCACCCTGGCACCAGACACCACACAGACACCCGCCTGTCCAACAAGTGGCTTCAACAGCAAAAGAGAAAATCCAAAAACGTGTGTGGAAAAAACAAAAACCTTTACGATGAGGAAAGAAACACACCAGCCACCACACAAATTACAGTTCTAAGAGGTACCAAAAGGGAGCTACTCAGGGAGAGGAGGGGGTGTATGAGTGGAAAATGAAACGTCTTTACAACATCACACACAACAGAGACAATGCAGAGAACATCCCGCTGTCTTAAAGAGTGCTGGAGAACCACACCACAACACTGTGACGATGAAATGCTGATTGCACCAGTTGACTTCTGGGTAATGGTAGTCCTAACGCTCCTGTATTGAACCTAACCCGCTGGGGAGGGGGGAGAGGGTTGAGAGGTAGAGGTGAGTGTAGCAGCACTTTGTTTGGCCATTCAGAAGATCCAAAAGGTAGCTAACGGGATTAAAAGGATGATTTAGAATCTGATTGGCTAGAAATCAGCCTGTCTGTAGGTTGTTTTGTTGTTGTTTTTTTTTTTTTTGTTAATAGACAGACATCTGGGGGATAGAAAGACAGAGGACTGAGTCAAAACCGAGGCAGGAGGCAATGCAGATGCTCTGTTTCTGCCACTAGATGGCCCAGTTTTCTCCAGAATCAGAGCATGGTCTAAAGGAGGAAGGATAAATCTGTTGCCCCTGCAGGGATACCCATGTAGCGGTGATCCCCTGACCACAACTTCCTGAATAAAATTTGTTGGATTGTTTGTTATTTTTCAGGGTGTAAAGAGGTGATTTCTCCCCAGGTCCTGTCTTACCTGACGTTCCAGCCACAGTAGTGCACCAGGTAGAGCACCTCTCCCCCCTCCACGTCTGCCTCTTTCACAGTGGCCTCGTACGTCTTCAGAGTGCGGCCTCGCCCATACCTCACCTGCACCTTCATCCCCGGGGGGTAACACTCAAACTCCTCCCCTTCCTCCCCCTCCTGACTGCTGTCATCCCTGCAAGAAAAACAGTTCAGCACTTCCTGGCCCTAGGCTGCCCCCATTGAACACCACAGACATGGACATAGGAGAGTTAGGCGCCACATCAGCTCTGATGCCCTAAAAGAACCACACGCAAGCGTGTCCGCCATATTCTGAGTGGCAAGTTCAAAGCAGAGAACAACACAAGGATGCATCAGCTTCTCTGAATATATAGCGAACAAATATTAATTTATCTTCAAATAAAAAGAAACGGAATTTAATCCAGTTATACATAAAAGTATTAAACTGTGTCGAGTTGGTCAAAATATCAATTCATTAATGGATGTCAAACAGTTAGATTTTCACCTTTAGATTGCCTATTAATAAGGCATGCACATAAGAGAATTAGGGTCAATGGAAAAATTTTTAAAACGTTAAGTTTAATATGGGAAAATAAGTCAGAATTATGAGATTACATTTAAATAAAATAAAAAAATCAGTTTTTCTAATGGCCCTAATCCTCTTTTGAAGGTATGGTAATGAAATCTGAAATATTTATTTAATTTCATCATTACTAATGGTATTTTTTTATGTTGTTCTTAATATTATGCTTACAATAATAATAAATCTTTAGTGGCGGCCTAGTCGTTAGGGCATTAAACTCGGAATCCTGAGGTTCTGAGTTCAAGCCCCACTCCCACAGACTGCCACCGTTAAAATTAACCCCACACTGCTCCCCAGGCGCCGCACAATGGCAGCCCACTGCCCCCCAAGGGGATGGGTTAAAAGCAGAGAGAATTTCATTGCTCTGTACTTGTGAAAGTGTAATGACAATAAAAGCTGGAGAGAAAAAGCCGGAAAAGTACCGATGTTGGTACCACTATAAATGCTTTAGCATTTTTAATCATTTAAATTATTTAGCTTAAACTTGGCTGCAAATTGTAGCAACAGTGACACTATCTATTTCTCCTTTATTGTTACTTTCCAACAACTTTGGTTAAGATTTAGTGTTTCAGCCACTGAAATTATACAGGATGGGGTATCCTGTGGAGGTAATGGCCTCCAGTATCGCACTTGGATGACGCTCGACCTAAAAGCTGTACTCAGACGAGCTGTCTGTCAGTCAAACATGCCACTCACAATATGCCGTCGACGTTGGCGTATGATCTGGATGCTCATGTGGCGTCTATCCTCTCCTCGTCTATGACAACAAAGACCCACCCTCACATCCATCCACCCATCCTACTGCTTGCTGCACAGAAGCTCCACCCTCGCCTGCCTCATCCCATTACAGCACATGGCCTTGATCTAGAAAGAAACATTCACTTCCTGTTTTTGTCCTTCTTTAACTCCAGTCCAGTAAAACCTGAGGCAAGCTGCAGGATTAACTACATCATTAAAAGTAACCCAGTACAGGGAACAAATACATGTGTTTCAGCAAGTAAAACATTATTTATGATAACGAGCATTATTAAACACTACTTTAAGCTAACCCTACAGCCAAACATGAAACACTTGAGGTTCTCATTCATACACATACACACAATGTGAGGAACAAAGCAGCCACAGGGAGGAGCTAGTGGGAAACAAAGCTGGAGGCTAGTCTGGCAGTGCAGTCAGAGGTTTAGATGCAAAAGGACAGCAAGTTAGGACAGCAAAACACAGCTCTGCAGGGTAGCTCAGCAGCAACTTAAAGCAGGAGTATAGAAGTGATGGGATCCAGGCAGAAAGGCCACAGCACTGTTCTCAGCTTCTCATTCAGGCCTCAGCCCAGAACACCAAAAGGCTCTCAGACTTTGCATGCCTACTCATAGCTGTATGATTTCTCCAGCTGTACAGAAACAACAAACCACAAATGTCTGGCATTTCAGTGCTGCACTTTCAACACTCATAAATAAATGCATAAAAAACAATCTTTCCTAACTCTGTTTGTTAAAAACAACAATCTGTGACGAATACAAAAGAAGCAGTTCTCCTACAATAAACTATTTACTGATGCTTCGACAAAAAACAAAACAAAAAAAAAACAAGTCAGTGCTAAGGCAAAGAGCTTCAAAACTAGAACCGCCATAGGGACAATTCCTACTTCCTCCATTTCCCTTAAATTCAGCCTCTCTTTGACTCACAGTTTATGATTCTTTCTGGAGTTTTGTAGCGTTTTCTTCAAGCATACCTCCAAATATTGAGATTTGCAGCCCAAAAAGTTTCAATTATGATCCTAAATACCAGAAATGATTAATATGCCACAGAAAAACTGTTTAGTTTTCCGGTTGGTGTACGTCTGTTGTTGTGCAACTAATAGAAACATTAAAAAAAAGAATAAACATAAATGAAAACCTTAAATGGATGCCATTGGTTTGTATTCTTTACTCAGATGTCCCTAAATAAAACCCTTTGTTAATTAGTCTTACGGGTTTGATTAACACAGTTTAATAAAAGGGGCTAAATATATTTTACTTGAGAGAATAACAATAGTTATTGGACCTGGAGCAGGGTACAGATTGGAGGGAAGTCAGGCTGCAGGGCATAAAGGAGATCAGTGATAAATATCATATAAACAGACTAAGATAACTGTGGAAATCAGCTTCAGAAATATTAGAGCAAACCTCCCTATAAGGTGAACCCGAACCTATTACTAATGTAAAATTATTTTTTTTTCAACTTTCCAATTCTTACCCAGCTTAAGAATAAACTAAAAATAGAAGGAAACCTGCGGTAAGTTGAAATATCTCAGTGGTTATCACTGATGCTTCTTTTACATGATGTTTGATGTGAACTCGCTTCTATGAGTCCTGGTATTCAAGTTTTACACATTTTGACACCTTACATGCAGTCTTCAATCTGATTATCCAGATCAACACAAAGTTGATGTTCTCTAGCTGGGGGAAGGAAAACATTGCTTTGTTTTGTTTAAATAAAAACTGAAAAACAGCGCCTTAATTTTTGCTCTATGCATTTCACTTAAAAAAAAAAAAGCCTAATCTCGGTCAGGTTGGAAGCAGAGCTATTTTCAACCTTCAGTACAGTTTCTGAATTGGAGTTAGGTCTGGATTTGGACTAAGTGGTATATGATACACGGTTTAGGAATAAAATCTCAGATTTTTTGCAAAAACGAAACCCAATTAATTTAACCAAATTAATTGAAATCAGTTTTATTAAATTAAAAGCTATTGATTCCAATCCGAAACCAAAGTTCGTGCAAAGTTTTAATTTCCATTTTTTTTTTTTTTTACGTAAATGACCTGGCTGCTGTTTTTACACATTTTTAAACACTGTTCTCTAAGGAAAAGGATTAGGGCCCCTGGAAAAAAAAGAAAGAAAAAAAAAAGAAACATTTTTTAATTTTATTTCAATTTAGTATGGGAAAAAAGTCAGAATTCTGACTTTTTTCTCAGAATTCGGACTTTTATCTCAGAATTTTGGATCTTAATGTAGATGGGCACCATGAAGGAAGAGATGTGGGAGCACTCAGCTTCACTGACAAAGATGTGAATTGTTTGAGAGGGCTAGTAACACATTGGTGGAATTAGGCAACTTTTTACGTGCCCGAGGGGTCCCCTCATTAATGGAGGAGCAGAAGGTCATTAAAACAAGAGAGCTAGTCTCTAAAACAGACATGGCCCTAATCATCTTCCATAGTTCTCTGTTTACTTGATCAAAGTTTTTGCAAATAAAAGTTAATTATGCCAATTTTGTTCACTTCGAGTGTGGAACCAACCTGAGAAATTAAACTGCTTGTTATTGGTTGCTTTTCAGGAAATCCCACCTCTACTGTTTTTGTCCTTGCTAGCTGCAGGTAATAAAGTTAGCAAAGCATCTTTAGGCTAATAGCTGCCGACATCTCTGTCATCAACTGACGAGTTTCTAAACACAATGCTGGAAATAAAAGGAAAAATGCTTAAGGGTAGCTGGGTGTAAAAGTCTAATTAACTTGAGTGTTCATTGAAGCCTCACTTTCTCAATATAAACAACAAAGCTAACTGTTAGCTTAGCTCACGCAAAGTTGCACATCTAACATTTATCTTTTTAAGAGCATAATCCTGCTGTAAAAACACATCCATGACTGTGTGAAGCTAAATTATTTAACTTAACCAATTCTCCTGAAGAGAACAAAGATTAGCCTAAAAGATGCTTTGCTAACGCTACTAGCCAAAGAAAACAGGGTAGATTTTGTGAAAAGGAGCCAATCACAGGAAGTTTAATTTCTCAGGTTGGTTCCACCTAAAAAGTAACAAAAGTTGACAGAAGTGCTCAGAAACAGGTTTCACTTTAGATTTTTTAAAATGGCGGCACCCTGCCCCAGCAGTATGGTGCTCTTGCAAAGCTCAGAGACATTGGCCGTTTCTCAATTTACAAGAACGCAAGTACGGACTTGTGTCCTCGCCAAATATGTTCTTGAGTAGAACACAGGAAAGTACGGACTTGGTGAGAACAGGAGAACGCAGACTACATATGGGTCAATTGGAACAGATGCGCTTGGCTTGTCTAGAGCTGTTTTTCTACTCCTGTTATTAATAGTCTCTATATAATAATAAATTCTTACTTTTTGTATTTATTGGGGGAATAATAGTTAACACAGTCAGATAAACACAAATCAAATGAACATATTGCTAAAAAAACAACAAAAAAACAAAAACTCACCATCAGAAATTTAAAAAAGAAAATGATGCATTCAATCGATAAATGGGCCATATAGCGACGTTTATATATAATATAATGTTCTCGCCTCAAATGATCTTAAAACGTACTTTTATTAAACAACGGAAACAGAAAAGAGAACTTTTAACTTAATACTCTGAGCTCTGTGAGCGCTCTACTGGAAGCTGCTGCGGCCGCAGTGCATGCTTGGACAGCTGTCAATCTCAAGAACGGACAAGTCTGCTCTGATGCATGCTGGGTAAATAGAGAGGGTGGGGAACAAAATCCGGGGACTTTGTCCATTCTCAGTCTGCCGTTCTTGTGAATTGGAACAGAACTAGGACTGAGGCTGATGATGTTTCACGAGTACACGAGAAGGCACAAGTACACATATTGAGAAACGGCCATTGTCCTGCCGAAAAGTTAACACACCCTTTTTCTTCCTCCCATCTACTCTGACCTTTTTACCCTGCTTATGAAAGCCTTTGGTGGCATGATACTGCCCCCACCATGTTTTGTAGTGGGGATAGTGTGTTCAGGCTGATATGCACTGATAGGCTTCATGCAGCAGACTCCATTTTATATTTAGGTCAAAAGGCTAATATAGTACATAAAGGCAACACAAGGAACATCAGCTCTTCCAGAGTTACCATGGATCTTTGCTTGCCACTTTAGAGAACTGCTCGATTTATATGAAGACTATATTACACATTAAATAATTTATGGGGACTATGCTGATGAAGATTCTCAGTCATCCAGGTTGTAGTCATTCCGTAAAAGTTTAAAAAACAATCCACTGGACTTGGTTTCCAAGATTTGAAATCTTCAATCAATTTAAAATCTTTAAAATCTTGGAAACCAAGTCCAGTGGATTGTTTTTTAAACTTTTACGGAATTTATGGGGACCAGTGAATGCAGTTCGCTTCTCTGGATTTTATAAAGGGGCATTAGAGTAAAGGAGGATGAATACCAACACATTAAACAGTTTCTAGATTTTGATGAAAAATAAAAACCATTAGGTTTTGTTGGCGTACTCTATGAAAACCAACCTGAAAAAGTGGAGATAAAAAAGAAACCAAAGGCTGGGACAACGTTTGGTACTAATTTTCCAACATTAAGTAACTGAACAGTTTAATCTGCTTCTGAAATAAGTTTTCCAGGTCAGAAAAAAACAATGTGCTCCTCGATTCAAAGTGTGATCCTCAAACAGCTCAGACTACACATCAAAGAGACGAGACACAATCAGAAAAGATCAGATCAGCCTCTGGGTTGTCCACAGAGAGAATCCAAGAGCCTGAAAGCTGCTAAACAGTCTGTGATCTTGACAAAGAACAACCAACTGAGAGCTCCTACCAAGTGTAAACCAGATATGTCTTACGTGACGCCCCTGTGGCTACAGGCGACACTAACTACAGAGAGGAGGGGGGGTCACTAAGAGCTTCCGAAGACAGGAAGTCAGCAATCAGATCCAAGTAATATTCGTCCTCCTTCCCTTCCGCTCAGCTACAAATCAGAAGGCCGAACAAACAGGGAACAAAAGGCCAAGCTCCTACAGAACAGAAGCCAACATCCACCTGAGCGAGGTTACTGCATCTGAGGTGCTGAAAGGGTTTTGATGTCTCACTGGTGACATTCATACACATGGAACATTTAACGAGAGCTGAGGAACAAAAGCCAAAAAGACGAGAGGAAAGGCAGAGGAGGAGAGGGAGTGAGACAGAGAGAGATCTGGAGCTGTGCACAGCCATGTTGTGTGCACCGTGTGGCCGAGGCTTTGCCACTGCTAAGCAATCTCACACAGAGAGACACAGAGAGCACAGCGTGATAGGCCAGGTGGAAGGTAGCAGTCAGGCGCTCTACAGGCCTCCGCCAGCTGATCCAGACCAAGCCACCAAAAATAATTATAGCACAGAGGGCAGTGAGCAAGAGCTTAGTTAGAGGAGAGAGAGGAGAGCTCTGTGCTCCCTTTAGTTAGAGAGGGAGAGGAGGATTGTGGGTATTAGTGGCGTTAAGGTCACAAGGATCACTGCTCCTTACTTGCTTAAAGACTTGTAACTTAGACAAAATAAAGGGGAAGCCTGACAGAAACTTGAACATTCTTTGGGAGAGGCCATTTTTGTTTTATACTACTATGATTAAAGCTTTGGAGAATCTTACCCGGAGTTTTCCTTGCTCTCCTGCTCATCATCCTGCTCCATTTTTACGTTATCACCTCCGAGGCGAGACGTGGATGACCCCTCATCTGCATCTACCTTTGAAGCACCCTCTTCTTTGTCGTCATCGTCGTTGTTTGCGCTGTAATTTCCCTCCGTTTTGGATGGCTCTGACTCCGATTTGATTTGGGTGAACTCCACTTTTTCTTCCTGTACCTGTCAAAAGGGTTTTATTTAAAATCCAACTGCTGAACAAAATGTAAAAACATTTGAATCAAAGTTTACGGATGAAAACGTACCTTGCAGAGGATGGATGGTGGAGAGCAAAGTTCTCTGTCCATCTGGGTTTTCTGCTCTTCTGAGATGGAGGACGTTGGAGCTGCTCTTCCTGGCTCCTCCTCAGATTTCACCTCTCTCTTAGGACTCTGCTTCAAAGGCAGGTCCATCTTGAAAGTGATGGCAGTAGAGGTGCAGTATTCCTCAAATCCATAGAGATACCTGTCAAATGCAACATTCCTTAGAAATGTGTCACAAAGAAAAAGAGAAGAGAAAAAGAAAGACAGAGAGAAAGAAACAAAGAATGAAAGAGAAAGAAAGAAGCAAGGTTGTGTCTGAATGTCCACCCTAACTCCTGAATCACTATATAGAGCAGAGACTTTATAGTGGACTTTCTAGTGAACTCCGTCTGGACAGATGATAACTACTTTTCCCTCCCTGTTGGTCACGTGACCCCGGCTCCCAAACAATGCCTGCACCATCTTTGTTCTCTCTTAGCCCCCAAAACAAGTTCAACCGTGCTTTACAAGGAGAGCTCTTACAAAGCATTC